AAACAGGTAGGCTATCGAGCCTCACGATTAAATCGTCGCGAATTATACAGCATACGATTGCTGTATGTTGGACTTAATCAGGCGCAATCTGAGGTAATTGTGAAACCTGAGATTGGTGTGATAGAGCGTCACAATAAGCAAGGCTGTTTTTTTGATAACGGGGGACTACGGTAAACGTATCTTTGTTGCACTCGCGACACGAAAGTTCCCACACAACAACAACAACACCAACAACAACAACAACCGAATATGCGTTTCTTTAACAGAAAAAAGTACTTACATGCTGGCTCTTCCAGTTCTGCCTTATTTGAAGTAGTTAGCTGCCTTGGTATCTCTCCATGAACGCTTTTCAGCATTTTCGTGTCCACTCGTTCCGTTGGTTCGTCAAACGAACCGATTGGCATACGATCAGTGTCAGTTGGCGTGTCATCGTAGGTGAGCACTAGTGTTAAACACATTCACATATTAACGCATGACCAACACAAAGGGGGCATAGCTGGTAAATAGTAAAAACAATCACAATATAAACCAAGAAGGAGCAGATGAAGGCATGCATACGAGAAACTTAGTAGAGACGGGAATGCCAAAGTAAAAGGACATAACATATTATAAGGAAACTGTATATTAAATATCATCCTTGCAGCGTAGGCAAAACTGCAATCAAGTAGCCAAAAATTTGGGTTAAACAGTGATTATCCGAAAAGGAAGATAACATTCAATAGACAAACCTAATCGGTGGCTGCTGCGAAGTGTCAACTAACAAACTGCACAAAAACCAAAAACTATGCAGATTTCGCTGGATCAGGCATCAGACATTAACCGGGACTACAAGGCCCTGATGGCTAATAAACGTCTTCGTAGACAACCAGAATTCAACTGCCTCCGAGGCTGGATGCGGTCAGAGATGGAAAAATAGGCCTACTTGAATGGTTTGATCTTTAAAAAGACACGACTAACAGCAGAATTAAGTAGCAAGCTATGCCAATAAGTGCATCCAAAAAAAATAAGTTAGACTATAACGCAGCTGATCTAAAACAACGAAATCAAATATGCTGGACATGACACCATTTCGTAACAATCGGTGCAATGAATGCAAAAGGTGTCTGCAACAAGATATAGGCCTGCTGCCTTTAAACAACAGCGCAATACGTGCTTGACATGCTTAGGATTGCTTTGCGTAAAGCAAGACCTGGTTAGGATAGCGTTAGGTACACAGGGGGGTAAAGGGGATTGTCTTACCATAATAATCCATCCCAGCGGCTGAAAACAACGAGCAAAAATGCAAACAGTTCGCAGAAATTTGCATGATAAAATTCGATAGAAAGTCACCAGTTCATTTGAGAACGAAGGTTCAACTCCAGCTATAAAACAATGCTAAGCACAGCAGTTCAATTCGTTTCAAACTGCCGTTCTCAAACCATAACCTGCAAGCAAACAGCAGACACATTTATGATCATGATACACAGAAAGGTCAACTGTAAGAACTGTAGAAGACCCACCCTTTTCATCGGGCTCAGCTTCAGCGGTTTGAATTTCCTTCTCGTAAGTCTCGGAGGCAAGCGGTTTAATGTCAAATTCTGCGACCTGACAAACTTGGAGTTTCTTTCGTCGTGCATGTGAAGTTCGAAGGCTACTGACAAATAAAATTACTAATCAACAATACCCGAGAATGTTCGGCGAGGCGTGTCCATCAACCGTTTGCGCATTTGGTTGTAAGGCAGCAGGTTCTTGTAGGGGCTCTATGCCCAAAATTTTAAGGATAGCATCCGGATCAACGTGTACATCGGCTGTTGAGCCGGCTCCGCTATTATTTCCACTAAGGGCTTGTCTGCGGTTCTCTTCCCTACGTAACTTATCCTCCCTTAGAGCCCGAAGTTTGGCTTTTTTGAGCTCAATTTCCGCTTTTCTGTCAGCAGCAGACATTATAGCAAGGATGGAGGAAACGTATAGGGTTCGTGCATCCAACTTTCAAGGTTAGCACTCGGTAGGGAGGATGTCAAGTTATTATAAACCCACCGATAGACTACACTGCTTGTGTATTCCAGAACAAGAATCCAAACCCACTTTCGTCTGTAAACTATGATACTCTCTGCGAAGTGTAAACAAACCTGCTGTGTACGAGCCACAAGGAATTTTGTTGGGAAAAAAGAGATTCTGAACAGGAGGAAGGAATAATAAACGTGATAGTGCACATAGAATTTCAGATCCTAGTGGAGAAGCAAACAAAACCCAAAGGCAAAGCAAATTCCAAAGAATTGCGAAAACAATAGGAATCTAGACTGCATATCCAAAAGGAGAACTTTGGACATGAGAACTAGAAAGTGAAACACATCTTTCCTTTCACACTCCTATTGTTAGGCCTCCTATTTGTTCATCCCACAACCTGGCCTCCCTCTCCATGGGTGCTATCCACGTATGTTTTACAATTTTAATCCCAATTTATTCACCATGCCGTACCTTGCTGAATCAAGACTGAATTGTTTGATACATTCTTTGCAAAGCATCTTACAACGGAATCCGAACAGGTACCGTCGTTTTAGCCACGCGTAGACAGCATTATCAGTACCGTTGATTTCTTTCGGGCGCACATTGTTCGTCTAAAAATCTCGCACTTTTCGGGAACTGATGGTATTTAAAACTCAGTTATCAAGAAGGTGTTGAGCTTTCCCGACTGCTTAATCATCTATTTTCGAACTATCTTCGAAAGGGTTTCTTTCCTGACTCATGGATAACATCTATCATTCTTCCAGTCTTCAAGCCAGGATCTCACTCGGACGTAAATAATTACCGAGGCGTTCATAAAATCCCGACCCTAGCCAAACTCCTGGAAAAGATCATTTGTAATCAAATTCTCCATTTTGCCTAGAAAACAAACTTTTAAGCGACATGCAGCAGGGTTTTCTACCTGGGCGATCATGCGAAACGTGTCAATTGGATTTTCCTAACCTTGCCACTTCCCTTCGTAACGAGCTGCAATCAGTGGCTGTGATCTACTTTGACCTTAGCAAAGCCTCCGACAAGGTACTGCACAGACTTCTTCAGGTAAAACTGGAAGCCATCGGCATCCAACCCACCTGTCCTCGACTTTATTGGTTCCTACTTATCTAACCGCAGACATAAAGTCTTGGTAGGTAATAGTTACTCGACAGCTCAGCTGATCACGAGCGGCGTTTTTCAAGGCACGTCTTGCGTCCTCTACTCTTCATTCCACACATTAATTAAATTTTAACAGTCCTGAATAATTAACATAATCTCATTCACACAGGCGACATTAAGTGCATATACTCACTTTCTTAGAACACGGCCAATATATGGGTTCATAAAACAAACGCAAACCTGCTTAAACTATCGCGTAGGACTGCTATCTGGAACTACCTGGAATTTTCTCTGTCCAGGTGTAGTTTCATGTGTTTTGGCACCGCCAAGCCTACTGGCCCTTTAGTCTTTCAAATTACTCAACTTTTAGGTTATTAAGCCAAAGTACTAGAGAAGACGGCCTCGAAAAAAGAATCCGCCTATATTCAACATCCCCAAGAAGCCTCATGAGTATATCAATTTACGATTCTCCGACCCATGTTACGGCATCCGCGGGAATTGACGCGCTCTGCAACCCTTGTCCATTGGTGCGGGCGAATAGTATGGCAGCTGGATTGCTTAATCGAATTCAGACCTGTTGTATTGTATGCTGGAATTTGCGAACGTTCCTGCCCTGGTACCCAAAGCCCGATTGTGCGCAGCCTTTATCAGGAAGTCTGACTTCCTGAAACAGGCGCACGGGAAACAAACGTTCCTGGAGTTGGCTTCCACTCCACCTTATACCACAGTGGCAGACATGGTGTGGCAATTGCTCTATCACAACAAGCGAGCCATGCACTACTTGCCTGGGAAACAGCCCATGAACGCATGGCTTATGTGCGCTTGAAGGGCCACTTCACATACATATCAGTGGTCGTAGTATATGCACCAACGTCCGCTGCCGACTAACGCGGTAAAGAGATGGTTTACTCACAATCGCAAATATTGGCTAAAAGGCTTCTTCGCCGCGATCTGCTGATTGTTGATGGGGATCGGACTGGTCGGACTGGGCCCGGTGACCCGTCAAACAGTCACCTTCTTGGT